CAGCAAACGCGGTAGCAGACATGATGCACAATGCGGGAGTTGTGTACGAGAGGACGCGACAAAGTATCCGGCTGTCAAGAGATCATCACATTTGGGGAATTATAGTTGGCCGCCACGTTAACGTTCATGAATCCCCTGTTTTACGCTGCATTCCCACTTTGGCTTGAAAGTCTGAATTTCCCAACAACCGGTCAGATGTTTCCACTGGAGCTCCGCCTGGAATCAGAAACAAACATTCTTGGAAACAGTGTTTTCGTGACCCGATGGAGGAAAAGCCGCCCCCCCCCGGTCACCCCGGAGATCTGGGCCACATTTCACCAACATCCAAAAAGTAGCTGTAGTTTGAACTAATAATAGTTCCCCGGCTAAACTCGAGCAGTTTGTCTTCTTGCAGCGTTATCAAAGGCGTACAAAGTGATTTGGGAGCAGCGGCTCCCCAGAGTCTCCGTGTGCAGACACCATTGTTCCCGTGACTTTGATTTGCCTTTAGAGGAAACATTACCCACACATCTCAGGTAAACGTCTGTACAGAGGAATTCCTCCTGTTGATTCCTTTTAATTCTTCCACTACGGTTTGAGGCGGATTGAATAAAGAGTGACTGAAACCTGAAGTTTCCAGTGGGATTTCAAAGCTTCTTTTTTAGCAAGAAGCAGCGCGAGGAGGAATAAAGACGGCGAGGAGCACATCCATCGCGTTCCTCTGAGCTCAGCAAAGGTGCGACACAGTGAGACAATTCAAGTTGGTTCAAGTTGGAGACACAACTTCCCTTGGTGCCTTGAAAAACAAGAGTAAACTGCAACCTCCGACAGTGCAGTATCAACATGTCGGGTCCCAGTCGTGCCGTTTACAGGTGGCAGCTTGTTTACTCAGATGCTCTCGGTTTACATTTGATTTGCTTTCTTTTTATAGATCAGGTTTCCGTTTTCAGCGATTCTCCAAAGAGGTGAATCTTCCCTGATATGTTTCATCATTCAGTGTGTCTCCATTATGCATGTGGCACTGTAAGCAAACGTGTCAGAGAATGTAAGCTCACTGGTTCATTAATGTCGCTCGCAGAGCGTTTCGTGTTGTCTCCACCGCCTGAGGAGGACTACGAGTCATGTGACCGGGTACGAGCAATGTCCAGTTCCCCGGTCAAACGTAACCTACGCAATTATTGTCTCCACCAGGGAAACCAAACCAACGGAAAGTCAATCAGGACGGATGTGGGCACATGGAGTAAATGCAGGAACACCCATGAGCAAGACCCACTGGTTCTAACACTTCTGTCTTCGATCACTTTCTAACTGCATAGTAAAAATCGGATTAGAAAGGGCCCTGCTGTCTTAAGGAATACATTAAACACATAAGAGTTTTATTCAGCCATTAATTATTTACACAGAACAAGATCTTGTGATTTCCACACAATGTCGTGAAAAAAAACATGTCATGAAAAGCCATTCTTTTGATCGTAATCGTAATGGGATCGTAATGGGATCGTAATTATAAGTTGTATTATTTTTCCCCATTGTGAATTCACATATACCATTTAAAAATTTTTAAAAAAGGATTAAATGGAAAAAAAGGATTTTATTTAATTGATCATTTCAAAAAGACAACTTTCTGGCACAACTTCATGAATATGGTTGAATTTATAATCCATACAGCACCTCATTCCTTTTACTTTTCATTAGTGAAAATGAGAAACTGTGTCAGCTCAGCAGGGCTTTAGCAGCGGGGAACGGCAAATGGAGTCTTTAGATTTTATGGTCCAAATGCACAGTGTGTCTGCAGATTCGAGACAAGGCCATTAGTGAACCGTGCAGTCAGTTTTTCCATCCATATTAAAACCTAGGAGGGTTATGGAAATGTCCCCCCCATCAGCAACACTTGCTGTTATCAAAAGAGTTGCATAATAAATAGAGGAAAAAGCATAGCAGGCGTACTGAGAAGGAATTAGGAGTCAAACATGAAAGGAATCCAGACCAACACGACCCCATGCTCCGTGTGGATGAAAGCGCATTTCAGTCAGATCAATAATTTGAGGGATCCCTTTGGGTTGCTTTTGTTAATATTTAGTATACTTGTAACGTTTCTGATGTGGGGACTCAAACACAGTTTGGATGAATAAATAAAAAATGCATTTTCTGGAACGCTAAAGCTACAAAAGCAAAATCGATGATCCGGCTGAGAGAAGCGCCCGATCGTCAGCATCCAGGCTGTCGGATCGATTCAGCAGCGAAAACAGGAGGAAAGGAGATAAAAGAGAAGCTGAAGTCCACTGATCTCTGTTCAAATGTGAACCACCACATCACCTGGACATCCCGGCAGAAGACAGTGGCATCAGGGAACACCACTGTCCCGTAAAGCCTTAGAAGGTCTGCCAACGTACTCGCCTGCGTTTGATCGGATGCCCGAGGCAGTTCTATGATTTAAACACAAACACCCCTTACAGCCTGAAAGCTGGCAGGAAAAAGAAGTAAATTAAATAAAACTCTAGACAACTTAAACACGAGGTGCCAAGCTGGAGGGTTTAGCACAAGAAGGCAGGGTGATTAACACGAGAAATTCAAACTAAGCACAACTTAATATGACAACCATAATATTCAAATCAATTTAGATAAAGTGAGGGACAACACTGTCAAGGTCTTCCCATCCCAAAGCATCCCCTGCTTTATGGTCTGTTTCGCTCTAAATGGACCATGATTTACTAAATAAACATCATGCTTGAAACTAGAGATTGAGACCATGAACTCATGTTTACAACATTAACTGAGCGAATGAATCAAGAGAGAAGTAGAGTCATTCTCTCGTGGACCTCTATGGGACCTGAGGAGTCGCCATCTGGTGGTCACTACCGAGAATGCAGCTTTAACACACTTTTCAGGACTAATGGCTGCACCCTTGAGCCTCAATGATCGATCCGAGACCTCCATGGAGGAATTTCAAACATTTAACAACTATATTTAACACTGCTTATGTTATAATTGCTTGGTTCACTCAACTGCCTTTCCCTGCAGTTACAGATCCCTGCCAGTAGGAGTTGCTGCAGCCCCACATCCAGTCGGTTGTCCTCATGCTTATTGCCACTTTGTAAACGACACTACTTTTCATGAATGTAGCTTGCTGGCTATCTAATCTTCACCATTCTCAGTCCTGTCCAATGAGCGGTGACAGCTTTGTCAGAGCAGCCGTCAAAGAGCACAACACCTCTTTGAGACGCTTTAGCTGCAGCTTACTTCTTCCAGGCTAGAAGGAAACAAGGCGCACGCTACGGGTCCGTTCCCTTGCATGAGTCATACATTACTACTAAATTTGAGCATTATTCATGTGCAGCTTTTATATATATCATTGGTTTTGTCTAAACTAGGTCATTAATATCTGTTTGGTTAATGAGCGCAATTTTGAGAGACTTATGCATTTTGGAATCTAGTGTAAAAAAATGTTCCTTGTTGTGACTTTCCATGATGCAATGCTGTGTAATACTGTTCGGTTTTATCACTCCGCTGTTCTACCCACAATCCAACACAACACTGGAATGTGCTCACGGTTCTAAACATCCAACCACATGCAAGGGCAGCTTCTCTAACCAGTAGGTATGAATATCCACTGGTGCACATCACATTGTGTTATAAAGACAAATCATCAACTTTAAGATCACCTGTAGAGGTCGCAGCAGTCAAAGCTCTGCCCCCTCCTTGACATTTGGAAACACTGTGTTTGAGCAGTTCAGATGTGTAATCTTTGCGTTCGGTGCCTCAAGGTGACTTGATAAGGTAACTGACGTATTTGAAACCACACTTTGAATCTTCTTTTGCAGAGAGGTGTGAGAAACACCTCCGGCTGCCCTGAATCCAGGCCACGTTCATGTGGAGCAGCTTCCCTGCAGCTCTTTAATGCCTTTACTAAGATCCGTTTTCCAGTGTTTTTAGTTTAAAGCAAAGTGGTGGATCAACCGGACAGACTAGACACATATTCAGAACACACTTGAATGCAACATTCAGCTATGGGCGTTGCAATACACTACATGTAAAACAGGAACGATTCATTCCAGTTACTAAAACACAAATGCCAATATTGTGTCCATGAGTAAGACTGTCCATAATAAGTGTCCATTTAGAAGGCGCGGCCCCCCGGGCCGACCCACTCGGATTGCTCCTGGACGTCCTGTAAGGAATACAAAATAAATGGCTTGGTTGTAGTTTAGTTAGTAAACTTCAGGAGCTGTGGACTGTTTGCTATGCAAGGTTTTTAGCAACCAAATGCAACACAGCACTCCGTGTATCCTGAGAAATACACCTGCTAAGTGTCAAGTATATCCGATTAGCAGTTGTGGTAATATGACTACTTCATAGTCACAGATACACATCCTCTCTCCACCACCCTCTAATTGTATTTTAAGTGCAATTCATTTCCCCCAAAAAGACACAAAACAAAGGACGACGTTTAAGATGATTTGAGTTATGGAATTGATATGATAGTTTCTCATATTTTCTATAGTAGCAAAGTTTTTAGTTCGGCTTCGCTGTAAAATGTCCATTTCTGCTGTAAAATTGGTTATTTCAACTTGGAGGACTTCGTTTTGGAGCCTGAAGTGGACAAGATGTCTAACAGCCGCTCCAAAGCTCACTCATCAACTACACCAGTTACATCTGGTTTGTTCATCCCAAACCAAAAGCCAAAAGCAACCTTTGGAATTGACCGTGTGACATATTTGTGTGTAAAACCTTTATTGACAAGGCCAGGCGAGCTAATCAGTCCACAGCAAACTACCTGTGGTTATTGCGCCCGAAAACACCGGGGCCAAGTTTGTAGAATACCAACAGATGAATAATTGCGAAAGGTAGTGGTGAAGACGAGCGTGCTTGTGAAGCAACTTTCAATGACAATGTAGTTAGCTGGAGAGGTGTGAGCAGGAATAAATAAACCAAGCGCGACGTTCCTCCCGCTCCCGCCTCTTTATGCTGCAGGCTGAAAGTTGCCCTTTCTGCTTTTTTTTACATTAGTCGACCAGGTTTTATCTACAACTTCTTCAAAGAAGCTAGAGGGTGGAAGTTCAAGCTCGGATTGAAAAGCAGAGTCTCTACTTTGGGGAACTAAAATAAAAATAAAAAAGACACTTTAACGTACTTTCCAAATTTACTAATAACTTTGCGCTAGCATGTTTTTTATTCATTAAACAACAGCTCAATTATTAACACATTTTCTATCCTGTTCAAACGAGTTAACGGTGAGTGACAAAGACTCTCTTTGGTTTGACGGCAGCAGAAACTCCAACCAAGTGATGGAGGAGGAGAAAACGTGGGCATTGGTCTCGGAGTTGGGAGGCGAGTTCGGTTACCTCGAAGAGTTGTCTGACATCCTGAAACAACACTTCCACCTGGTGAGCCACAGGGACCTTCTACGAAACCCGGCACTCTACGGTCCCAAAATCCAGGTCCTGTTGATCTGGAAGTACTTCCCCGCGGCCGAGCCATCGCTCCTCCGACTGCTTCCCTCCCTCAAAGTGGTCGCCAGCGGAGGGGTGGGCATCGATCACCTGGACGTGCCGTTCATCAACAGCCTCGGGGTGAAGGTGGCCAACACGCCCGGCGTAGTCAGCAACGCGAGTGCAGATCTCGCCATGGGTCTGCTCCTGGCGTCGGCTCGAAAGGTCCTAGAAGGTGAGATCGTACGTACGACCTGCAGCCCTTTGCCCTGCGGCGAGTTCTCCTGTGTGCTCCGGCTTACAGCCCACATGTCTTTAGCTCTTTGTGGGTATATTCATATCAGGGCTTCTATTTATTGTCTCACGGGGGTTTAAACTGTTGGATTAGTGATGTTAAAGCTGTCTGATCTCTTTTTCAGTATGGATGTTACGTTGTTTAAAAAGTTATTTCCAACACAAGCAGTAAGGTTTTTTTCCATGCACCTGAGCTAGTGAAGGATTTTACCCACTGGGAAGACAGTATGTAAACAGTAAGAGTGATCTACAGACGTATTTAAAATCTAGACTGTTTTTCTGTTGTAGGTCATCAAATTGCTGTTGACCCAAAGACCATCAACCTGCCACAAAGTCTCATGGGAGTTGAAGTCACAGGGTCGACTGTGGGGATCGTTGGAATGGGGGAGATTGGTTACAAAATTGCCCAAAGAAGCAAAGGATTTGAAATGAAGATCCTGTATCACAACAGGACCAGAAGGTACAACGAACAGACGCGGCCTCGTTGTATTCACTTGAATTTGTTTTATGATTGAATGTGCAGGAAATCAAACATTTACATCTGGATAATGTTTAACATTCAAGCCCTGATGTTTAACATTCAAGAAAAATGAAAAGAAGTTGATTGTGTCCATTGTTTATTAAAAACCAACCTCACTAGCAGAGCGGATGCCCCCTCATGAACCGTGTTGATTGCACTCTGGAGGGCGATCATTCACCCGTTATTCTCTGCAGGTGTGTGGCCGACGAGCGGGCGGTTGGAGCCAGTTACTGTCAGAGCCTGGAGGAACTGCTGAGGAGGTCGGACTTTGTCGTGATCGCCGTCAGACTGACCCCGGCCACGGTGGGCCTCATCGGCCACACGGAGCTGTCACTCATGAAGCCCACGGCGACGCTGGTGAACATCAGCAGAGGTGGGGACCACGGGTCCTTTCCGGGTTGTGTGAATTGAGTCCAGGTTTAAGTTAATGATCCTCTTTTAATGCCTCAGGTCAAGTTGTGGTCCAGGATGCGTTAGTCGAAGCCCTCCAGTCGGGAGGAATCCGAGCTGCAGCGTTAGATGTGACTCATCCTGAACCTTTGCCGAGGTCCTTTGCAAACAGAATCACGCACTTCATCCTCCGACCAATTGCATCACTCGTTGCTTGCTCTAAACCCCCCCCCCCCTTTTCTCTGGCTTATCTTCTGCAGGGATCACCCGCTCCTCAGCCTGCCTAATGTCCTGATCACCCCCCACATCGGGATTAATACCTACGACACAGCGAGAGCAATTGTGCAGCGGATGGTAGCCAACGCCGTGGCTGCTGTGAAAGGCCGGCCCGTTCCCAACGAAGTCAAGCTGCAGTGACGCAATCCGTGTTGAATGTCTCTGCGGTGGGTGTTCTGAACGAATGGTCTCCTTGTTGTGTGTCAGATGATAAAATGAATGTTTTATTTATGTCTGACATTTCCGAATCATAACATCATAACATCACAGAGGCCCGAGTCTGTGAAGCAGGAAAAAACACCAGTTTCTTGTTGCTTAAAGCGGCCGCAGTGCGGAGACTAAATTCATCAAGACATTGCATACAAATGAAGGTGATGGAGCTGAATTAAATTAAGTCTGTTATGATAAAGAACATTTCATGCTGTGTTTTGGCGCCCCCTCTGGTCTACAGTGGTAGTGTTTTCATGTACAATCGCCTTTTGTTCCCAATGAGGCTTTTTCTTTGGATCTTGAAATATTGCACAAAATAAATGCGCTTTTTTGGTGCATTAAAAAAATCTGGGTTTCTGTAGCGTGAATGGGAAGGACCCCCGACGTTCACGTGACTTCAAATCCCCAGGTTGAAGCTAAAAGAAAGCTGTTGTTGTTGTGATGACGTTTAGACGTCTCATTAGAGGCCTTCTAAATTCATGAGAGCCGCATCTAGTCATGTATTTTTAAACTGTATAACAAAAGGTTAATATTTAAGCTTGTGTTGACCAGCGACCTCATTTCAGGCAGCTAACCTAAAACAGTGAAAAAAATACTTTGAGACGAGGCACCCGGAAGTGGAAAACATCTAGGACTCCTTGGCGCTGCGCTCTGCGGGGACGGACACCGCTGAGGCTGCCACTCAGTCCCTATCTATGATTGTATTTTAAAAAGGGCACGCTGTCTAGGAATGAAGGGCACCCTTTCTACGCGCGGCCCACGCCGGCCTCCCCGAAGCCCACAGCTCGCCCGGCTCCGGCCGGCCTTTTTCCCCCCAAGGCTACTCCTGTAAACTGTGAAGGTGAGAGCTACATTAGCCAATTACAGATGTGACCTCATTGAAAACCAGAAGTGTCCTTGAGATCTTTCGATGGTCCCATAGTTTCATTTTCCTTTTCTTTTTTTCCTGTTGCCTTACTTAAAAGCTTTGCTCGTATGAGGGCGTATTTGCATTTTAACACGCCAGAGGAAATCTATTTATATTCCCATTCGATTGGCATCAACATCAAAAGGGGAAGCGGGGAATAAAACATTCTCAGTGCCTCTTTTCTCCCGTTTTTTGTTGTTGTTTCAAGGCAGCATTTTCAGCCCTGAGGAATAAAGTGTGTGAGAGACATCGGGCTGGAGTCTACCTGCAGTTGATATCGCCTTTCATTCTATTCCGCCCCGTGTATTGGGGTCCACTGTGTTCCTCCGTGTTGGCGTGTATATATATATACATACATACAAGCATGTGTGTGTGTCTGTGAGGGTGGATGAGAAGGAGGACGAGTTAAGCGAGGAAAAGCTCAATGACTCAGTGTGCAGCATCCTCTCCACATGACATTACCATAATTTTCCATCGTATCCTCCGATATTTTATTTTGAAGAAAAAAAAAAAAGGATTGAGAAAATAAGATCCTCCGCATCAGAAGCGTTGGAATCTGGAGGGAATTGAAGCGCTCGCAGTGAGTCACAGGGAGGAAGTGCCTGATCCAAAAAAAGACATCAATCCCTCTCTTCCTGTTTTCTCTGCGGCTGCACTGGATGCTTTTATTTGTTCACGGCTTTGTCAGTCGCCCGTCCTCATGTTCCGCTTCTATTTTTGTGTGTTAACTACAGTAGATGAAAGGATATCGAGATCTTTTTTGTTACGCCTCAAAGCTCAAGCTCTTCTGCGAGATAACTTTTTTATTTTTGCAGAACAGCCGAGTGTGAATTATTATCCAAATGAGGAAGAGGAATACTCCGATATTTAGCGAAGCACGAGGAAGTGGATTCAAATTAAGCCTTTGAATATAAAAGGCATTTTGGAAAAGAGTACTGGAAAGACTTTATTTAAATATTTATTGACCTCCTGCTATGTTCACCTCCTAACTGGCCTTTGTCAAAATGCTAAAGGAGGAACTCACATTTTCTTTTCAATCAGGCAAAAGGCAAAAACCGGATAATAATTACTGGCAATAATCACAAGGAACTTAAGGCTGAGACTTTAACAAAATTCAAAACAAGGTATTTTTAACAGCTTTTGAATTAAATTTAATTAACATTTAATTCATTCAATGCTAATTTGGATTCCGGTTCATGTTGACTAAATTTCTTCAAGTCTCCTGGCCATTCTAATTAACACACTTCCTGAAAGCGCTAAAAAAGTGGTTGAATGTAACAGAGCCGTTAGTTATTTATGTCGGTCCCACAGGGATTAACAAGCTTCAAGGTAATTAATCATAAAGTCAACAGAGCTGGTGGGTAAAAAAAGAAAGATTCAAGCAACTACAAGCTTCATCCGGTCACAACATAAAAAAGCAAAAGGGGAGTCTAGACAGTGATTAGTGATCAATGACACCGATCAGCCTCGTCAACATCTTTACATCAAGTGTCAGGTCTGAGCGGGACGTACGCATGCATGCAGATCCTTCATGGAGCACAAGCACTGAAAGGCGTTGAATGATTAATGAATGATGATTAATGTGTATTGATGTGTACTTTGTCCTGTAGTTATTTTACATCCTGTAGTTTAATATGAGTTAAAGCCTCATATAAGATCTCTGCAACCACATATCTCTAAAAATACATTTTTTTCCCTGTGTTTTCCGTCTTTCACTGAATTCTTTTGATACACGCCAGCGCCTCCTTCGACGTCCCATAGTTTTGCTTTACTGTGTCGTAGGTGGGGGGTTTGAGCTGAACCGAGCTGCAGTCGGATGGACCCTCAGTTGGTCCCGGCGAGCTGTGACACAGAAAGAATCCCACCTTTTCTGCTTTCAGTCGATCGATTCTGTCGTCAAAGAACTCATTCGAGCGCGCGAGCCAACGCAGAGAGCACAGCACATTGACTCCGTTCTCAATGCGTTGCAGAGACGACTCAGAGGCGGTGTCCTCGCGGCCGGCGTGCCTTGGAAGAAGCCTGTTGCCACGGCGAGGCAGATTCCGCGCGAAGAGCCGACGACTCTCCAGGCAAACGACATCGCGCTCACCCTCCTCTCCTCTCGGCGCGCCGCCTCGTGTTTCTGTCAGCTCGGATTGTGTAGCGGCCCGTCAGCGCCGCGGCTGAGAGCAGAGTCCAAGGAGTCCGACACCTCTTGTTATCCTGGGGCCTGAACTCGTGGGAGGACTGGCTGTCAGAATTTGGCGACAGAGTGCATGAGGCCCGCCGGGGGGCAGCGCGAGTCGGTAACAGGTTGTGGGTTTCCTCTTTCCTCCGACTCACTGTATGAAGAATGAGGCAGAGGTACCTCCGTGTGGGCAGTTCGCTGTCAAATTAGCTTTCATTCATCCCATTATTACCAGCTGCGACAGCCATGTGGCCGCTGTTGAGTCTACCTGTGTGTGCGTCACGGTGGCAAAATGCGATCCTGGAGACATCTAAAGTGACGAGAACCACCGCAGAAGAGGTTTTTATTCCTGTCGATCCATCTGTGCACAGAATTTGTTGATTTGATGCATCGTCGCCACCAGGTGCTGAAACGCGTAACACGTGTAAACATAAGTTGACATATAGTCATCACGTCGTTCTTTTGCGGGTTGCAGTTTGAAAGCCTCGGAATTTTAACTATGTGTGGAATGCAAATGACTACTAGAGATGACTCAATCACAACGTCGTCCAATACTGTCCAATAATAATTACTGAGGGAATAAATCCAGAGAGAAATAGTCATTTTCTCATAGACTTCTATGGAACCAGAGGAGTCGCCCCCTGCTGGTCAGAAGAGAATATGCAGGTCGTAACACTTCCTCATCTGAGTATTTAAGTCAGATTTAAGTTGAACAGACATTAAAAAAAAGCTCTTGAAGGTACGTAGTTGTCTGAATATTTAAGTCCTAACGACGATTTGTTCCCAGAAACACCTTTTAATTTGAATCCATGATGTGGTCTCAGGGCATCTATTGCTTTCAATGACTTCACTTAACATCAACCTTCCGGGTGGCTGCCATGGAAATACAGACCCTGAAAAATAACATTAGAAATAATATTTTTTCTGCGGTGCAATAAAGGGAAATGTCATCCTGATTCATTTTACGCTGCAGTTTAGTTGAACAAAACGGAATTAAACATGACATGTTTGTGAAGCCCAGCAGGCGAAGGCTCCTCGTTATTGAGCGTGCATTGAAAATCTCTCGTAGAATAAACGCCCCTCTAAAATGTTGACTCTTTCGCCTGTTTGGAGGAGGTAGGTTTATAGAGGCATTCCATACTAAAGTGCTTTGGACAGTGTATATGCGAGGCTCGTGTATCTCTGATGCAATCTGTGCAGGGCAGGAAGAGAGTGGCTGGTGATGAAAAAAGGCACGTGGGTGTGTGAAAAACCCACTGGCGAGCTGAGAGAGGGAGAGGAGACGGGAGCACATATACAGCATTTCAAAAATATGGTTGCCTGGAGTGAAAATGACAGGAGGAAGGGGCCGGGGACATCGCAAAATAGAGTCTCACTGGAAAGACGAATGGAGAAACTAAGGCTCGGTGTCAGAGTGGGGAGCGCTTGTTTAGCCGCACATCGTGCTGCATCTGTTTTAACAGTAGATTAGATCAGCAGGGTGTGAGCTCCTTGTCACGGAAGAGTTGTCCATCAATGTGCAATTTGCTTTTTTTCTCCTTGGGAGAAATAATATTTTGGTGTTTTCTGACTGAGCGGATAATCCGTACAAACCGATCAGACTTGACTGATGTCTGGTGTGTGTTGTCTTGTTTTTTAGGACTAGCAACTTAAATTAAATTGCCTCAACATATGCCCAACATCATGTCTTCTTCCCCTTTCACACTATAATTACAGAGTCTTTGTAATACGTAAAAAACTGGCCCATATCTTTACAAATTAGTAATACGGGAACGCAGCATCTGGTGTACAGGCTGGTTAATAGTCATTAGGATGTGTACATCTTCTCTCGGCTTAACACCCAAACGCGCTTTAACGCCTGAAAAGTTGTTTTTTGTTACCAAGTGCAATCCTCGCATGGAGTCAGTGTCACTGACGTCGGGGCCGAGGCCTCCTGAGTGACTCAGAGAGTGAATCAGTGGATCCGAGGCGCGTTTCGGGAGATGCTGCACAGTTCATAGATTTGTGCAGTTGGTTGAAACACCGGTCGAAGTAGCGTTCTCTCATCCAGACAGTCAGCGCTGGTAAACACGGGAAGATTTATGACCTCGGTCTAATCGTAAGTTGGGACATTCCCTGGTGG